TAGAGAGAGCCCGTGCACAGCAATGAAGACCCAACACAGCCAAAAATAAAAAAAATTAAAATAAATAAAGTTACTATAAAATATTGGCTATATTCTCTGTTTTGTACACATTAACTCTTTCACTATCTGAGTATGTATGTGCCAGATGAGGATTAAAAAAATGTACAAAACAGACAAAAACTGCTTCATGTATTTAGGTATTAGAGCAACTCAAAAATCTGTATTTCTTACAGTGCTAATGTGTTTTTAAAAATGGTGCTAGAGCTCTATAGTAATTGGAAAACCACCGCCCTACAGTACATTTGTTCCCAAAGTGCTGTCAATAACTGCAGCTACATTACAAGAATGAAAATGATGTTTCATTTGATGTTACAGAACTTCCAGAAGATATAAAGTTAATTGAGTTCAGAGCAATTTTTATATTCTTTATCAAGGGCATTCCCAGGATGCAGAAAGAAATGTAATGTTATTGAGCATCACTTTCCCTCTATAAGCATAGTCCTGATATGGGAAGGAACAAGAATAACAGTTTTTTAAGACCAAGAGAAAACATGGAAACCAAAATAATCTCAGAGGGTAGAGGGGGAAAAAAAAATAACTGCTTATTGTTAGGGTGGAGGCTGTATTAAAGAGTTTCTTCTGACTACCCTGTTAATTATGCATAACAGTAAATTGGGTTGGTAGACAAAAGAAAGCTGAAAAATAAAAACTACCTCCCAGAACACGTCAATGTCTCTCCACCAAATATTTAAGGAAGGAATGGAAGAAATGAAGCTAAATTTTTGGTTCTTATATTAAGTATCTACAACATTATGACTATGAAAGCACTGCTTATGAAACAGAAAAGCTCCTAAGCAGGCTCATCTATTTTGAATTCAGAAGTTGCATAACTATTGCTGATCCTGACTTTACAGAATAACCAACGTAGATCAACTGGACAAAGAGAATGAGTAAAGGACTTAAAACAATTCAACTTTTGAGGAAGACAAAGTCCAGTAAGAGCCACTGACTATAAAGGCTTATTTCAAAGATAATTTGAGGCAGAAATATAGGAAGCACAGGAACATACTGAATTTCATAAAAGAGGATTATGACACAAAATGTCCACTAAGTACTCAGCTAAATTAATATCAAGATGTCAAATTAAAAGAAACGCACTTTTGCATTTCTAAAGGAGAAAAACAGCTTTATGGTTGGAGAAACACGAAGAACACTTAAGAGCTGTCTCATTCTTTAACAAGGTAAACATCAAGTCTTAGAAAATGCTAACAAAGCAATGTAGCCTGCTCCCTCCCTTTCTTCCCTACCACTCACAGAACATAGGTTTCCAGTTGTTAAGACCTGATCAGCTTCCTGAACAGGAAAGCCAGAGACAGGGAATCAAGATAAATCAGACTTCTCTAGCCTGTTATCTTAATATAATTTTTCTGGCCTATTATCTAAATACAATTAAATCAAGTTTGCTTTCAGGTTCTACTACATTCAAGGATTCAAGTACCCAGTTCCAACGTTCCTTTCTTAATCCGTTTACTGACAATCAATTCCTTTAATAGTCAGCATATATAAGTGATTGATATCAGAAAAATTTCTAAATAAAGGAAGAGGTGAGCAGATGCCTAAAGAAGGGAGTTTATTAAATGATAAGCGAGGGCTTCCCTGGTGACGCAGTGGTTGAGAGTCTGCCTGCCGATGCAGGGGACGCGGGTTCCTGCCCCGGTCCGGGAGAATCCCGCATGCCGCAGAGCGGCTGGGCCCATGAGCCACGGGCCCATGAGCCACGGCTGGGCCCATGAGCCACAACAGTGAGACGCCCGCGTACCGCAAAAAAAAAAAAAAAAATACAAAACCACATACATTACACAAGCATGAAAAAGGAGAATATGGATATACACTAAAATGTTTATAGTAATTATATCTTAGTGGCAATATTACAGATAATTTTCTAAAACTTTTTGTACTTACATTTTTCTAATTTTTCAATAATAAATGTGCTTTTACTCTGAGAAACTTTTTAAAACCTGCATTTTACTGTCAAGTAAGGTAACTTTTTTTTTTTTTACGGTACGCGGGCCTCCCACTGCTGGGGCCTCTCCCGTTGCAGAGCACAGGCTCCGGACGCGCAGGCTCAGCGGCCATGGCTCACCGACCCAGCCGCTCCGCGGCATGTGGGATCTTCCCGGACCGGGGCACGAACCCGTGTCCCCTGCATAGGCAGGTGGGCTCTCAACCACTGCACCACCAGGGAAGCCCAAGGTAATTCTTTAGACAGATTTTTTTCATGCATGCATTCCATGCACTTGACAATTATATCTCTTTAAGTGCAAAGAAGACAGTTCAATTAAAAGACCACAGTACATTTCAGTTTCCAGTGGATAAACAAATACCAACTTCAAACTTAAAAATTATTTCTTGGAGTACTTTATTCTACCATCCATAACACTGATATCTATATTAGAAAGAGATTCATTTTTAACCCTTTACCCCCCTCCCCCAGTCAAATACATTTATTATAAGTTCCTGTAAGAAAATATGGAGGAAAAACTACTATTCATCATTAACCATTAAAACCTGGGTGGAGGAGGCAGTGGGAAACACTTCTAAGTAATTAAAATTAGTTGAGTATCCTTATGGTTTCAAGAGATACTAATATGCTTTCCAGTTATTGCCAATTTAAACTTGAGGTTTAAATTCATCTAGCCTAGAGGTTCTCAAGTATTGATACATGATAACTGCCCAGGAAGTGTGCCAAATAACAGAAACTCATGGCCCTAGCTCTCACCTACTGAATCAGAATCTTCAGAGAGTAGAGCTCAAATAATCTGGCCCTTTCAAATAAGATAGCGGACATTGTACTTAACAAAAGGCTTCTCTATATCATTACAAACTGTTCTAATAACTCTGAAACAAAGTTCTCAACGAAAACAATGTTATAATCAGAGAAATACGATTTCATAACCCATGCCCATTAATTTACCCATTCTTCTAGATACAATTCAATAAAACCACACATGCACTACAGAGTAAAGCAAGCCTAGAGGCACCTGTGCAGAGTAAGACAAAGGCATATCCGATTCATGGAAAAAATAGACAGCAGATGTGACCCCTAGTATTTATCCACTAAAAACAATGTATCCTAAAAATAAATTTCCATGTCAACGGAACAAAGCTGTTTATAAATAAGAAGGAATGTGGAGGTGTGGGGAAGACAAGAGGAAGCTTCAGCAAGTAAGTACCAAAAGCCAGGAAACAAGGCAGAACGAATGGCAACTGGGGACAAGGAAAACAGAATAAACTAGGAAATGGAAGAAGGAAAGAGTACTACTAAAAATCCAAGAAGTTTGGGGAAATGAACAGATATTAGAGGAAACTGATCTGAGCAGAAATGCAAACAGAAAAGTAAGCAGAAAGTGGTATAAAAGATATATTCATAAAAGACATATATATGTATGTATACATGAGAAATTTAGATGAGATCAAATGATGGTTACAGAACACATCTTGGGCATAGATGGAAGTGGTATAAGAGAATGAAAAACAAATATTATTGTGAACAAACTGATACTGAATAGAGCAACCATATCTAATGAATTTCCAAAGTAAAGTTGATGAAGCAGGAAAAAGAGAAGTGCATTGACTGAAGAACGAGACGTTATGAGAATTGGGAAACAAAATGTAAGTACTGTAGTAGAAAGGAAAGAACTTTGAGCAAAGTCAACGGAGCAAGTCACATTATCTAATCAATAATTGTAAAGCACAGTTATTATACCATATATTATCTCATTATTTGTAAAGTACAATAAAGTGTATTATTTTATGTAATACAATACCAAACACCAAATGTAATAAATTTTACGTAACAAAAACCAAAATGTAAATAAAGTCATTTGACAAGGTGATAAGAGGCTAAATAATGGCTGAGAGAAGCAAGGACTGAAGACGAAAAAGTAAAAGAAAAAAACTGGGACAAAAAGGAAGACAACGGAAAGAAATCAATCACACCTATTAAAAAAAAAAAAGGTAGAAATAAACAAAGAGGTGTGGATGCACAATAGAAGTGCCAAGTGAAACCTGACGGGATCTTGACAGCTTCACGATTCAGAAAGTAAGTAGCTCCAAAGCGTTCAGAAGGATTTGTGACGATAACAACGTTAGCGAGCGGTGAAATGAAGAAGGCCTCAACAGGACTAAGATAAGAGAAGTGCAAAAATGGTCTTAAATAGAAGCTGAGGTTAGAAGGCAGGCTGGTCCGACCACTGGCAAAGGAGCGGGGCGGCAGATGGAACTGGGATGGGGGTTACCGGTCGGCGATAGAATACTGACCAACATTAGGAATCGGGGGCCTGAGACCGGGATGGGAGAAAGAACGGAAATAGCGGCATTTAGGGTTAAAAAAGTAAAGACCATCCGCTGGTTAAAACAGGTGAAGAGCAATCTCCCCTAACAAGTAGAGAAGTGTAAGGGAGGGCAGCAGCCTGAAAAGAGGCAGAGTCAGGGAGAGTAGAGAGGGAATGATCGCCCCATCATCACCGTGACCGTGTAATAATTACATACAACGCTAACTCGGGCTGGGGTCCCGGCCCCGGCTACTGACCGACATCTTCCACCCAGATGCCGCCGCCAGCCTCCCCCGCCCCCCACCCAAAATAAAGAAAACATCCAGCAGACGCGAGGCTGGCTACCTTCAGCCAGCCGTGACCTTCTCGGGCCAACCCTGAGTCTCGCCCCCTACTGATAGCCTCCTGCTCCACCACCACTGCCCGAATCCCTCAAGCCCCAAGTGCGGGCCAGGGAAAAACCCCTGGGCCATTGTGTGTGTTTACGTAGCGAAGAACTGCATGACGGAGAGGCACAGGAGGGGAATGCCCGTCTCCCAGCCCGCAGCGCCCAGAAGGGAAGGTGGCTGAGGGCACCAGAGCCCCCACCGCCACCTCTCTCCCCAAAATAAACACCAGCCAGCCGAGCCCCGAGACGGGAGGGGTGCAGGGCGCGCCGGCACTCACCTCCTCGGGAATGGCCGGGTCCGCAGCCGAAGAGGCCGCGGCGCCGGCCTCAGGCTCCATGTCCCCGTTGTACAGAGCCTGGCCCTGCTCCGCGCCGCCGCCGCCGCCGCTCAGCGCCGCCATCTTATAACCGAGAGCCTGGCCCGAGCGACCGCTGCTGGGCGGGGAGGGGGAAGGGAGGCGGAGGGCGGGGGGAGGCGGAGGCGGAGGGCGGGGGGCGGCGGGGAGGGACGGCCCGGGCGGCGCCTGCGGCGGGAGGGCGCCTGGGCCACCTCGGGAACCGGCCTGCTGCCCCCGGCGCGGCTGAGCCTGAGGGGATTGGGGGAAGGACGCTAAGCGGGGGGCGGGGGCAGGGGGCGGAGACGACTGGAAGTCGCCGCGGCAACGGCGTCACCCGCGTGTCACGGTCGTGACGTCACCTGAGGTGCGTGACGTGGTCCTCGGAGCGCCCTGGCGCCGTCGTCAGGGGAGGGTACTTTGCCCTTCTGCTCACCTCCCAGCTCACACGTTTCCTCCGCTCGGCCGTTTCCATGGCTCCGATTAATTCTCTTCTCCGTCCTAACCCTGTTCTGTAATGTAGGATTTACTAGAAGAGGAGGATGGTGTTCGAGAAGTTGAAATCCTATAGGGAGAAAGACGGGAAGCCCATACTACTTGTGTTATTTCCATTATAACGAACGTCTCCGTGTCATAAAAATAAGACTTGAAACCCCGAGGTAGCAATAGTCAAGCAGAATTTGATAGAAATATATTTAGGTAAAGACAAGTTACGAGAATGATGCTTGAATCCTTTTCATTAAAGGATTTGGCCTGTTAATAAAGTGGGTCTAAATGGAAGTCTAAAAGCTTTTCTTTTTTTGCTTCATCGTTCAGGAATAAAATGTTTAGTCTATTTTTCGTTTTCCAGATTCATTCAACAAATGTCAGTGGGTCGCTTTCTATGTTCGAGGGCCTGCACAAGGCATGGAGCATTCTAGACATTTGAAGCATCCAAACTTGAATCATTTTTATTTTTAAGAAAATCATTCAAAATATTTTAAATACTTTTGTCCTGCTCATAAACAATATTCCAAGGAATTCTTTATGCCAAATATGCATGAAAACAAGAGAAGAGAGGTAAATTATCTTTGAGAGGCCCAATTACAGAATGGAATTAGTTAAAGAAACCCAATTTATTATTAAAAACACATGTATGTGAAAGGAAAGGGGAATATGAAAGGGAAAAAAATCTAAGGAAGGGAGAAATAGGAGTGAGAAACAGTGGAAGTTACTGTGAGCTCCAAATGGTGTGCAGTTAATCACAAAGTAACGTAAACATCAAGTCATGAGAAGCTTTAAGTGTACTACCCATAGGGGGAAAGTCACCAGTGACCTTCTTGTATTCACCATGATTCAAGAGATAGAAAGCCGTCCTACTGACTTCTGAAGCAGAATGTCTGTGTAAGGATAGAGTTACCATGAGCCCAGGAGCAGACCCTTACTCCCAAGATAAAGAGTTGTGTATGAGACTGCTTGTTTAATCAGGATATTAATATTACCCTACATTGAAAAATGCAAAATTCCACCTATAGAATGAGCATGGTATGCTTTGTTAGCTTCTTTATACTTTCCCTTCCAAGTAGAGAAGTCGCCTTGAGGCACTAAATTTAAATCAAAAGGTAGCTTGACAAAAGTAGTGTAAATGAAGATTATCCTAAGGGATAATGTCATCAAGCTATACTAGTCTGAAGCACCCTTCTTTACTATAAGGAAATGTAAGCAGACAAACATAGAACCAGCAGCCAGTCATGGCACCTTTTCCCCTTGATACCATGAGAAATACAATTAGCAGAGTTTTTAAAAATTCTCTAACAGTCCTATTTCATTTTCTAAAAATCAGCCCCTATAAATATTATATAACACTTCTTCATAACATTTAAAACTCCTAAGGTTTTTATTCCATTGGTTTCATTTTAAAGTACAGCCTTCTTTTTTTTAAAATTTTTATTGGAGTATAGTTGATTTACAATGTTGTGTTAGCCTCAGGTATACAGCAAAGTGAATCAGTTACACATATACATATATCCACTCTTTTTTTTTTTAGATTCTTTTCCTATATAGGCCATTCCAGAGTATTGAGTAGAGTTCCCTGTGCTATACACAGTTCCCTGTGTTCTTATTAGTTATCTATTTTATAGGGATTTATCCCAAGGATGCAAGGATTCTTCAGTATCCACAAGTATAGTTTTCTTTATCAGCCACAATATTTTACGTGATTTTTTTCTCCACAGGATGGCTGATCTCATCAATTTAATATTGATTCTTGTTAGCTTTCATTTATTCAACATTTTCTGGGGACTTCCCTGGTGGTCCAGTGATTAAGACTCTGCACTCCCAATGCAGGGGGCCTGGGTTCCATCCCTGGTCAGGGAACTAGATCCCATATGCCGCAACTAAGAGCCCACATGCTCCAACAAAGATCCTGCATGTCTCAACTAAGACCTGGCGCAGCCAAATAAATAAATAAAACATTTCCTGACTTTGTCTTCAAATTCTGGATATATCTTACTGATTTCCCTAGGCCATTCTAAAGACCCACAGGATCCACATGGGAAAATACAGAGAAAGCATAAACTTTGGACTCCAAAGATCAGGATTTTAGTGTCACCATGCCACATCTTGGCTATATAATCTCAAGGCTGGTAAGCACAAATACCTGTTGGTTGTTGTTTCAGTCTGTAAAACGAGGGGAGTGATAATGCCAGTCCTATCTATCTGTATCATTGTGAGGATCAAACATTATAGGTTTGCCCTTTGTGAAATATAAAGTTACCCTCTTGGTTAGAATTCAGACAAAGCATAGCAGACATGGCTTATTTCTGCTCCATGATGTCTGTGACCTCAGCTGAGAAGACTGAATGCCTGGAGGTGTCTCAGTCATGGGGGTCTGGAATCACCTGGAGGCTGAGTTCCTCATATGTCAGCTGGTTGAAGCTGGGACCTCAGGTAAGGCAGTCAGCCAGGATTCCTAAATACTCTCTTCACGTGGCCTGAGATTCCTCCTAGCATGGCTGCCTCAGGGTGGTCAGACTTGTAACAAGGCAGCTGAGGGCTCCATATACTAGGGTTCCTATAAGCAAGGTGGAAGCTGTATTGCATTTTATGACCTAGTTTCCTAAGTCACACAGCATCACTTCTGCTGCATTTTATTGGATACAGGTAAGTCACAAAGTCCAGCCCAAATTCATGGAGAGAGACTATAGAACCCACCTCTCAATGAAAGACGTGTCAAAGAATTTACAGACATATTTAACGTACAGACAGACTGTGTTTAGAATAATGGACTAGCTACTCTGTAGAAATGGCTGCTTATCCTCACCTTCTCCCAAGGGGATTCTACACTGAAACTCTCCCCCTTTTATTACTGAGAATCACCAAGACATATCTCAGTGTGGTACAGAAGAAGGCCTTACCTTCTTTCTTTAGCTTCCGAGGCCCCCACTGCCTGCAAAACTAAATGCAGGTCCTTGGCTATTGGACACATCCTAACTCTCTCCTCTTGGGCATTTCCCCCCACATCCCAATGCTGATGGGATTTGGTAGTGTTGATGTGCTGAAATCCTCTACACAAAACAGTAGCACTGTGTTCTTGGAGCCTGTAATGAGCCAAGCCAGTTTGTGTTGAGCAGAAACAGAAATAACACCTCCCTTTTGTGTTATAGCATGCCATATGGGCATCAAAGCAGTCTTATCTTGCATTTTAAAGTCTTACAGACATTTTAGTCAACACAGTTCTTGTAGCTTTTTCTCACCATCCCCTTTTCCCCTAGGCCATTCATGTATTCACAGGAAGCTGGAAAACAAATCTAGATGAGAAGCGCTACTCCGAACATTGCTCCAGATGATGGCTGAGACACTGTTATGAAGCCTTGCTGATAGGCCTGACCCTCTCTTCCCCGGAGATAAGTTTATTTCCGACTGGTGTTTCTAACCTGAATCCTGCATTCTATAGACACTGGATAGTCCCACCCATCAGCCAGACTTGCCCAGCCAGGTCTGATCCCACATGTATTGGTCACAACTACTCGAAAACAGGTAAAAGCAGCCTCTAGGAAGCTTCTAGAGCTCCAACCATGTTCAATGCTGTAGAGCTAATCACAGTTTAATATTTTCTTTATGAATCAAGGTCATCATTACAAATAACACATTCCATATTGTTGAATTCTATATTGTTTCATAGAAGCTATTTAGGTGTGAATAGAAAACAGAATCATAGAGTTGATTCCCCACCATCTTCCCACTGGGAGATACTTGGAATCTCCTCTGTGGAATTTTAAACTCTAACCAAGTACTTTAGTGGTAGGAACCTCACTAATACAGTACATTCAACTGTAACTTTTTTTTTTCCTGAAGTTAAATTGAAATCCTCCTCTTTATGACATCTATATTCTGATTTGAGTTTTGCCTTATAGAGGAACACAAGATGAGTCTGTTTCTTGTTCTGTGTAACTGCTTTCAGATATTTGAAGGGAGTTCTCTCAAAGCATTTTCTCACCTTTCTGTGTACTCTTTTCAATGTTCCTGTTAAAATGTGGTCCCATGAATTAAACACTGTTCCAGATTTGATCCAACTAACAAAGAATAGAATCTCTCATTGCAATAACCTAGGAACCATGCTTTTAATATAATCAAAAATCATATAAGCACCCATTATTGATACATATGAAGGTTACAGTCAACAAAAAACCTTTGTTGTTTTTTAAATAAAATGCTGTTGTATCAAGTCTAGATTTTCAGTCTTTTTAGCATTGGACATCTCTTCCATTGAACTCACATTTCTCAGACTTTAATTCTTGAAGGAAGACCTTGCTTTTTAATTCACCAAATTTGTTAGATATTACATTTCTAACATTTACAAAAGGATGTTTATATCAATATGTTATTTCATCTTATAACATCTTGCTTATACTATCCTTGGGTGTGTTAGTAAGATACAGAGTTCTTTGAAATATTCTTTGTGAATGTGGTAATTTGGGGTATTAAATTTTTTAAGTTTGCTTTTATTGCAAGGTGTAGTTTTCCATATATATATATGGAAAACTGTATCTATATAGTGAAAATAGTACCTGATAAGGGATGGGTCAGAGCAGGGTGGAGGAGATAGTGTGGGAATGAGACTTCTCTGAGTATACCTTCTA